TCGCGAAGCCGCAGGGCGGCTTCGGGCCCCTCGCCCTGCCTCCCTCCAGCACCACGGTCAGGGTCGCGCACGCGCGGCGGTGGGTGGCGGCGAGCGCGCGCCCCTTCTGCGCGCCAGGATCGGGGGAGTCCGCGGCGTCGGGGCCCGTGCGATGGTCTGCGCGGGGGCCGCGAGCGCGGGCGACCAGGATGCCCTCATCACCCCGCTGATCGGCATCGGCAGGTGCTTTGCCAGAGTGATGTGGACGAGGATCGTGTTCGCCGTCGAGCACTTCGGATTCCCCTCAAGCATCCTTCGCAGTGTCCTGACCATGTATGCGGCCCCACGTCGCATCCGCCGGGGCACCACCTACTCCTACGCGGTGAAGGCCAGGCATGGAGCTTTTCCTGGCTGCTCGGTGGCCATGGTTCTACTTAAGCTGGTCATGATGATGCCGTTCGATGTATACCAAGCGTCGGTCGCACACGTCCTGCACACCTTGGATATGCACGCGGATGAGATTACACTCCAGATTGTGATGGAGATGGATGAGATCGTACAAGTGGCCCAATCGGCTATTGGACGCCTGGCGGTTGTCCTGCAGGCGCTGAAGCTCACAAAAGCCAGCGACAAGGCCAAGATCCTTGGCTCAACGGAGGCCATCGCCAGCAAGGTTGCAAAGGCCCTCTCCAGGTTCGGTTTCCAGGCGGTCAACCAGCTGAGCGTATTGGGACTGGAGTGCCGCGCGGGAGCGAGGCTTACCTACATGGAGATCCACAAGAGGGTCAGGAAGACAAAGGAGACGATCCCCCGCTTCAGGGAAGCTCAAGGGCACGGCTAAGCTGGCCAAGCGGAGCGCGCGTTCCTGCTTGGCGCCTGGCATGTCCTGCGGCCTCCACGTGGTAGGAGCTCCACCGGCCACGATCGCCACCGTTGACGAATCTGGTTCGCACAGGATGGAGCAAGACCCCGACGACATCGTCAACCGGTTAGCCTCGGTGCTGGAGGACGCGCCCCACCAATCGTCAGACTTGATGGCCACGGTGGAGCTGATCTTTACGTGGGCGCAGATGGCGATTGACCAGAAGATGTCCCATGGATGTGTTGGAGCGCGCATGTAGAGAATGCAGTCATCAGCGATGCCAGCTGCTACGCCACAAATGAGTACGGTTGCTGGTCCTGCGGGCGCGGAGATCCTGAACCTACGCCGACTGGGGTGGCGAGCGCATTCGGCTTCGCATTAGGTGGCGGGCAAAGGCATGACGTTGAAGCTGAATGAGGCAGCACCTACATGCAGCCAGGCGCAGTTACAGTTCAGCCAAGTGGGAGACGTGGGCCACCAAAAGCGAACATGCACCAGAGCTCCCAACCTGGTCTGCGTGATCCACGAGGCTACTGGACCAAGCCACTAGCAGCCATGATGCATGCGTCACCTGAGGCTACGACTTGGAATTTGCAACCAAAGGCTCGGGGGGCGCTTCGGTCCACTACCGTCGGGGCGCACTGGTCACATCACCGGCCGTACACCATGGGCTACACCGAATCACCATACTGCATATGTTGTGGCGACGAGCGAGGAGATTCACACCACAGGTTTTGGGCACGTTCGCGCAACGAGGGCACGAGGCAGGCCGCAGTTGATGAAGCCATCCTGGACATGGCGAGGGCAGCAGAGGCCACGTCCATGTTCTGCGCGCGTTCGCGGCCCCCTCGCGCCACGTCCCCCGCCAGACCGCGGCCCCTCGACACCCAGGGCTGGTGGTACGGCATGGGTGGCCAGGCCATGGACATCACCGGCGTGGACGAAGTGCTGGCCCGAGGCGAATCGGGCAGGGTGGGGCATCGCCGTCCTCAGCGGCAGGCGCCTCTGCGGCATGGCCTGCCGGGCCCCTGCCGGGCCCCCCGCAGACGGCGCAGCGGGGGCAGGTCGACGCAGTGCTCCAGGCGCTGAGGCAGGGGCACCTCCCCCTCCACGTCAAGACGGACTGTCTCAGCCTGCTGCAGCCTTTGACGTACGGCAGGGAGCACTGCACGCACGTGGGGCGTGACAATGCAGATGCGAGAGGCGTGGCGCCAGCTCTGGCGCGCTCTGGACGACCATGGTGGACTCAGCAGCGACCTGGAGATCACGTGAGTAGAGGGCCACCAGACGCACATGGAGACAGGCGACAATATCGACAATATCGGGAATGACTTCGCGGACGTGGCGGCGAAGAAGGGGACGGCGCTCCACAAGTTCCCCGAGGAGGCACGAGGAGCACAAGAGGTTGCTCAGGGCCGTGAGGCAGGTCGGCGCCTGGATTAGTAACTGCCAGAGCGTCATCGGTGACTAGAAGGACAGGGTGACCACGGTCTGCAGGAAGCCTCGACGTGGAGGCTCCGCCCAGGCCGCGCGAGGGCAGCCGTCGTGCCATGGAGCCCTAGGGATGGCGAGTGCAAAGTGCCGTCGGCTCGTTGCGGTCGGTCGTGGACCTAGACGCGGCCGCTGCCCGCACTTCGCCCGATCGAGAAGGGGCCTTCGGAGGCTCAAGCTCGAAGTTTGCCCTGCGATGGCGTTCTCTGCTCGGGCCCTCCAGCCAGACCCTGGTTCCGGCAGGAAGCCGGCTCTGCAGAGTCAGGGGGAGGGACGCTCTCCCAGACCTCGTCGGTCTGACGGGGAGGAGGAGGAGGAGGAGGAGGAGGAGGAGGAGGAGGAGAACGACGAAGGGGAGGAGGAGGAGGAGGAGGGGAGGGAGGAGGAGAGAGGAGGAGGAGGAGGAGGAGGAGGAGGAGGAGGAGGAGGAGGAGGAGGAGGATTTTCCTCGGAGGCCCTCGAGGCAGAACAGAGCAAACCTGCCTAACCCGATCGACGGGAGGCAGCTGCAGCTTCTTCCCGCGCACGAACGCGGGCCGCCAGAGCCTCCATGCCAGGAGTTGACACGAGGCGCAGGCGGGAGGCCGTCGGTTTACCACCTTGTGTGGTTGCGGCCTCAATAACAGCCTCGGCGGAGCGACGGCAAGGGTCCGTGACACGATTATCATTGTAAAAGTGAGGATGGAGCCCCTGCTTGACTCGGAAGAGGGTCTGGGATCTCTTGCCCAGCTTCCCACAACACCGCCCAGCCAGCAAAACACACCTTTTCGAAGAGTAGGCACCACACCTATAGCAAAACACTAAAGGTTCCTGGGCCTCATTGTCAATCATCGCACAAGCTAGGAGGTGCCCCCGTTCCTCGGCATCCTTCAGATTCCGAAAAGCTGTGGGGACCCCCTTGCACCCTACCATCGATCTATCCTGATCCCAGGTGATCGAGAAACACTTTGTGCACCTCCAGGCTACCCCCGAGTCGATCTCGCACCAGTCGTGCCAACTCGGATCTCTGACAGCCGTCGTCCGAAGGCCTCTGGCAGCGCGACGGAACTCCATCTTGGGGTAGCAGGAGAGCACAGCATCAAACATTCGAACTAAATCTTTCACACGCTTCACGCACACATCAAGAGCCTCGAGGTCTTCTGTCGGGGCCCCTGGGTGAAGTGTCAGTGCGTGCTTGGCTAACCTATCAGCATCAGCATTTCCCAGGGCAATGCGACGCTCCAAAATCGGTAAAGCCAAAATCACCTCCTCAGACCTGTGGGCAGGGGTGTAGGAGGCAGGTCCCAGACAGCCCTGAGGGTCGTGTTCCATGGCGAGCCTCCTAAGGCCAGCAAACATCTGCTTTGGGCACAGCTGTTCCCGACGACTAGCATTGTGCAGATTAACGGCACCAGAGCAGTCGCTGTGAGGGGTGGCAGGGTAATCTATGACACAGCTAAGCGTTGCCATACCAAGATGCTCCGCCGACTGCGGAGTCTGGAAAAAGGTGGGCCATACTGTGACCATCATCCGTGCATGAATCTTGTATTCGGGGCCAGGTGCTAGGAACACAGCCCCGAACGCCGCGCGTTGGAGCTCCTTAAACACCTGCTGAGTTGCTGAGCCGTCGACCACGGGCTCACACCCACGGGGCAGCTCAAGAAAATCTTCAAAACTGATTTCCTGGCCCTCGGAATCCTGAAAAGTCGGGTCGAGGTTCCAGGACGGACCAGGGACCACAGGCTGAGGCACAATGAGCCTCGACCAAAACAAAAGTTCCTGGGGCTCGGCAGCTTTCACCTGATCAATCAACTCCTGACTGACATGCTCGAGCCTCTGTTCGGCCACACTCGGACAGAGCCATTGCCGATGGAACAGGGAGTCGGGTTCCCCGCACAAAGGACAACCCCCCCCGTAGTCATACCCGCACGCTCTCAACCGACCTCCCGTCCAGCAGGCACCTGAAAACACAGCCGAGAGCCAATATTTTTGTCTGGCCGTGGTCTTACGTGAACGGAACAACTTAGCGACAGGGTCTGGGCAGACTCGGACATCATTGAAATCATCTAGATCAGTGGCCATCTTGCGCTCAAGGGCTCTCTGCACACCAGCCTCGAGCTGCTTGGCCACTAACGCTGGGGAGGTGTACATTAAATCAACCACGCGATCGCGGTCATCTCTCCACAGCGCAAAATTATCTGCACGCCACCCAATACGATGGAGGGAGAGGAGCATTCTATGCACTGGACCTTTAGACTTACGCCAGACAGTGGGGCCTAACTCAGGAGAGGAACTAGATATTGTACGCCATATCCGAATGTGATCCCGAAAAGAGAAGTGGCACACCGTGGGCTCCGTGAGGCTCTGCCAGAGGCTGTTCGACCACTGAAGTGCTGGGGCAACCGCCTGACGCCACGCAGGGTCTCCATGAAGCACACACTTCGCTGTCAGGCTGGCTCCCCGATGAGCAGGAGACTTGCCTGACATCAGCACTGAGCGTAAAGAAGCCAACTCATGATCAGAAACTCCTAGGACCATGCTGCCGAAACCTGCTGCTGGCCGTACTCCTGCTACATATATCTTGTTAATACGCGTACGGTCCCTGGGAAGCTTCTTCTTATAGTGCTGGAGTAGCCGGCTACGAATTCGCATATCGTGAAACCGCTGCCGCCGCCGAGCTCTAGCCTTCTTAGCCGATAACCCCTGACCAGGTGCTAGGTCCACGCCCAGCGACACCGTGGAGTTCGTGGCCGAAGAAGGGCATATTGGCTGAAGTCGCCTGCGCAGCTTGGAAGCTATCCTGCTGGACGACGAAAAAGATACCGCTTTGTCTTCAGCTAGCCGCACACCTAAACGTGTCTGAAAGACCCACTTCAAATCTTTCGCAGCCTTGACCAAATCGTGCATAATGACACTTTCAGGACCATGGGCCGAAACCGTGTCGTCGTCGACGTACGATCCCAAACTAACCCCAGGATTTCGGCTAGACCAAAGATCAAACTCGAACATCGCGTAAACCTTCACGAAAACATCATTGAAAATGTCCCCTGCTGGTAAACCGTTTTGCGCAAACTGAATGAGCGGGCAGTGATGAGCTCCCAGACGGAGTACTCTCGGGGACCTCCAGAGGTTGTACAAGACTTTTATGAGAACCGTGGGTATACGCCAGTACAAGGCCCGATCCCTCAGCCACAGGAGCCGAAAGGACTCATAGTACTTCATTCCGTCCCAAATGAAACCTGCCGTGTAATCGCCCTTTTCGGAGGTCTCCTCGGCTCTCACACTTTGCTGCCATATCGATACCTCTGCAGACTGCCCCGCACCAAAAGACCAGTAAGGCCGCTGGGCCCGATCCAGGAAAGCATCAGCCTGAGGTCTCCGAAGTCGCTCCCAAACTCGAACAAAAGATCCCAGAAGAAGAATCGGCCTGAGACCTCCTTTGGGCTTCTCCAGTAAAGGCAGCAGCATCCACAGTAGCTGCGCGGGGAAAAGGCCCAGCCGCTCCACGGCCTCGTAGAGCACGGCCAGGCACGTGAGGCCCTCGTCGGAGAGGGCACCAACATGCCGCGGGTGAAATCCATCTAAGCTCTGGGCGGTGTGGCGGCTGAAACTCAGGGACGCTTTCCGAAGTTCATCAACGCTGGCCCGAGGAAAACATTGACGATCAGGAATCCAGGCTTCAGGTGGCTTCAAGCCCGCTCCCCAGAATCTTCCCAACGTCTGAGCTTCATCCTCCAGAAGGGCGTGAGGATCCGCAGTAAAAACTCCAGGCGCACTCTGGATAACTGTCGGCTGCCAAACCTTTTTCAGCTTCGTAAAACGATGCACTATCCGAGCTGAGCCAGCGAGGGCCCGTTCCTGCCAGATGTCCCACGCCTCCCGCTGTATTCGATCCCCATCCGCCCCAGCTTGCTCATAATCCTCACGAACATCCTCTAAAAACTGCTGAGCTTGCTCAAGCCACTCCTGCCGATGGAAGCTGCTGTGGTGTTGCCAGCTCCTCGCCAGAGTGCGCATGGCACGGAGAGAGGCATCAAGGCGCACAGACAAGCCTTCGCCAGGGCAGGGGTCCTGGAGCGATACCTGAAGCTGGATGCAACACTGCACTGCATCCTCGGTCGCATCTTGCACCGTCAGGGTAAATTCCTGAAAAGACTGGTACAGCCACCTCCAACCAGCAACGATCTGGAGCTTATCTGGACGAGGAGGAGGAGGAGGAGGAGGAAGTGGAGGAGGAGGAGGAGGAGGAGGAGGAGGAGGAATGCGGAGGCCTCCGGAGGGCCGCCTGTGTCGGATCCCGCGGGGCCAGCGGCCTAGCGTGAGACGACGGGCACCCACAGAGCGAATCGCCGTCGTCTGGAGGACGTCGCAGGAGCGAAGTTTCACAGGGCTGTTAAACCTCGGGTAGACTCCCCTCCTGATCCTCTGGCTCCGTCCTCCGACGGGCCTCCGCTCGCGGTGGACCCCTCCTCCTGCGGACCTCCCTAGGGGGGCGTGCTGAGCCACCAGAGGCCCCGTCCCCGCTGTCTCCCTCGCCTCGCACCTCGACCTCCTTGCCCCTCCCTCCGCCGCCCCCGCCGATGCCCCGGAAGTCTCGGTTGAAAGTCCGTTTTGCCGAGGCCATGGAGGGGCCAGAGCGGCCCCAGGTGGCCGTCAGGGGCGCTGTGGAGGCTGCGATCTCGCATGGGGCGAAGCGCGCGTGGAAGGGCACTCCTCCTTCCCGTGCGGACTCGGTGGCCTCGAGAGCTCCCTTGCCGCGCCCGGGGGAGGTGCCTCCCGCGAGCGCCAGGGGCCATGTCTTGTCCACTTCGGGTGACCTCGTGGGGTGCAGCAGGTGTGGGGCGTTCTCGGCCAGGACGGCGCGAACCCAGCTTTTTCTGGGCATGTGACCCCGAGGCTGCCGTTCTTGGTAACCGACAACGTTACGAAGGGCACCCACCCCAGTGGAGTGGAGGCCCCTCCCCTCCACATCTCCTCGCAGGCTCCGAGCAACGGACGACGCAGTCCAGTGGCTCGGCTGAGTACCCACAGAACGACGAGCCGCAGTCTGGGCTCACACACGCTTTGCCCAGGTATCCGAAACTCGTTTGTTTCTGTTTCGCCCTTCCTGGGGGGCTTCGGCTTCGCCTCCGATCCTGGACTCTCTTCCTCGGGGCCTCCCGTCGTGGCCGCGATGCTTCGGCTGGGCCTTGTGCGCCCCGGGGCCACGAAACGCTCTGTGCTCGATCGCACTCGTCTCGCCTTTTCCTGCCGCTCTAATCCGTCCACTGTCCAACTCGGCGCGTCGCTCCATGAGCTCGCGACTCCTCCTCCTCCTCCTCCTCCTCCTCCTCCTTCTCCTCCTCCTCCTCCTCCTCCTCCGCCTCCTTCGCACCCTCCTCCTCTTTCTTCCTCCCTATCCTCCTTCTCCTTCTCCTCCCCATCCTCCTCCTCCTGCTCCCCCTCTCTGGACAGCCTCCGCTAACCTCGACGACGACGACGACGACGACGACGACGACGACGACGACGACGACGACGACGACGGCGACGACGGCGACGACGACGACGGCGGCGGCGACAACGTGGGGTGGGGGCCTCAGCAGCCACTCGGCCAGCCGCCTCACCGCCGGCGACAGGGTGGCGGAGACCAGCAGCGTCTGCACGGAGCCCCTGGCCGACGAGTCTCGGCACCGCTGCGGTCGGGAACCTCTGCTCCGCGTGTCGCGGCGGCGGCCCGGGCGACACGCGTCGCCCCGCAGGCGGACAGCAGCGTGTCGCTGGGCTCGGCGGGGTGGGCGGGGGCTCGGGACATGTCTGGCGGCGCTGCGACTCGCGCTGGCGCCCACGGCCCGCACTGCTGCCGCCGTCGTCGTCTTCGTCGCCGGACTCTCGCCTTCACGCGACTTGTAACTACTGCTGGCATGTCCGTGGCAACGGGCCCACGCGCGGTGAATCGCGGCGTGGTCCCCCGAAACTCTCGACTCTTTCGCCGGGGCCGGCTCTTTGTCTTGGGCCGTTCTTGGACGGCCACGGAGCCTGGCGAGGGTCTCCTGACGCCGGAAACAGCCAGAAACCTCCACTCCTGATCATTATTCATCCTCCCCCTCTTCCAACTCATGGTCATCCTGCTCGTCCACGTTTCCCATACGGTGGGGGCATCGGATAGGGAAACATTCGATTAGGAATCCAGGGCCTGGAAGCCAGTGGAACTCCAGTCGTGGATTGGCCATTGATATCCCTGCTGCCCCCATCAAATAAGACATCTCCCGGGGTCTGAGGCCTCCCGGCACTTTCAGCACCGAGCGTCCCCACCAGACTCGTCCTCTTGCCTCTCCTCCCTCTCCCTCCTCTCCCTGGAGGCCTGCCTGCAGTGCCCGCGGACGTCCGGGGCAGCCCCGTGGGCACCCGGCAGGCATCAAACCCACCTGCAAAAACCTTGGGTGGCTGCTCGGGCTCCTCCCACCCCCGCGCCATGCCCCTCCCTGGCAGCACCCGTCCCCCGGCAGTGCTCGGCCCCCCTCGCCTGCCCCCCCCCCAGACCCCCGACGTCATGAATTTTTCATGACATCGACCCCCAGCGGTCTGGACCCATCCCCCGGGACCGGGTTTTCGCCCTGAGCCGTTTTTGGATGGTCCCGAGGGCCGGGAAGGGCCCCCAGAGGCCAAAAATCATGAGAAACCCCTCCCGTCGTGATTTTTTCCTAACTCGAGGGGGCCTGCCCCCCCCCCCCCCCCCCCGCGGCGCCCCCGTGCGCTGCCTCGGCCTGCCGAGGCGCCCGCCCCGCAGGCGGTCTGCCGCGGGACGCTCCGCGGCCGCGGCATATGGGCCCGCCGAGGTTCTTCTTAGCGCCCGGTGGGCGGCCGTGGGCGCCTCGTGGTGGGCGTCCCTCGCGCTGGCGGGGGCCCGCCGGGGCCTTCCGCCTGGTGGGGGGCGGCCGTGGGCACCTCGCCCTCGAGGCCATGGGCGTCCTCCGGGAGGCAGCTCCCCGCCCGACGGGCCCTCCAGGATGCCAGCATCCCGAGCGCCCCGCCTCGCCCGCGGGCGTGCGTGCCGCGGCCGCCGGGCCCCAGGAACCTCAAGAGGTGGAGGAGCAGGAGGAGGAGGAGGAGGAGGAGGAGGAGGAGGAGGAGGAGGGAACCACTACACGACTCATGGGACATGATAGATGACACCTGGATTCCTCCGATCTGGCGTGTGAGTTTCTGAGAGCGTGGACTTGAGCTCGCTCAAGCTTCGCTCTGTACAGGGGGGGGGGGCACACCATTCCCGACGCCATTCAGTGCTCGGGAGCCGGGGGAAAGGTTCGCTCTGCAGGGGGGGATACCATGCCCGACGGCATTCAGTGCTCGGGAGCCGGGGGGGGTAACCGGTTCGCTCTGCAAGGGGGGAGGGACGAGTGCTCGGGAGCCAGGGGGGGTCGCTCTGCAAGGAGGGGGGGGTACGCCATTCCCGACGCCATCCAGTGTTCGGGAGCCGTGGGGGGTTCGCTCTGCAAGTGGGGGAGGGGGGGGACAAGCTAGGTGCGCTCGCGTCATATCTGACGTCCTACCCCTCCCTCCCATCCCTTACCATGGCGCTGATTTTCTCTATCCGCGGACGCGTGTCGTAGCGGACCTGTGGCTCCGCGCGCGCGTGCGTAGTGGGTGGTGGTGCACGTGCGTGCGTGCGTGCGTGCGTGTGTGCGTGGTTGTGGTGGTGGTGGTGGTGGTGGTGGGTGGTGGTGGTGGTGGTGGTGGTGGTGGTGGTGGTGGTGGTGGTGGTGGTGGTGGTGGTGGTGGTGGTGGTGGTGGTGGTGGTGCTGGTGGTGGTGGTGGTGGTGCTGGTGTGGTGGTGGTGGTGGTGGTGGTGGTGGTGGTGGTGGTGGTGGTGGTGGTGGTGGTGGTGGTGGTGGTGGTGCGGCGCGGTGGTGGCGGGCGGATGGGCGCGCGAGAAAAGGCCCGCGCTGGGGCGAGAACGCCATCCTGAACGACGGAGGCCAAACACCGATCCGAAAATGAGGCCCACGCTGCAGCGGGAGCACGATTCGGAACGATTCGGGAGCAGAAATGAGGCCGGCGCCTCAACGAGAGCAGCATTTTGGGAAAAAATGACGCCGGCGCCTCAGCGAGAGTCGTTTCCCGGGATTTCCCGGGGATCCTGTGTTAAAAAACAGTACGCGGAGGGTGCGCGGCCATCACCCGGACGCCATCAGGGAAGAGGGAGAGTATTTTCATATTGAGTAATTGTGGAGACGCCATTCCCGACGCCATTCAGTGCTCGGGAGCCGGGGGGGGGGGTCGCTCTGCAAGGAGGGGGGGGGGGGGACGAGTGCTCGGGAGCCAGGGGGGGGGTCGCTCTGCAAGTAGGGGGGGGGTACGCCATTTCCGACGCCATTCAGTGCTCGGGAGCCGGGGGGGGGGTTCGCTCTGCAAGGGGGGGGGGGGGGACGCCATTCCTGCTCGGGGGGGGGGGAGGGGGTTCGCTCGTAAGGGAGGGGGGGGGTACGCCATTCGCGACGCCATCCAGTGCTCGGGAGCCGGGGGGGGCAGGGTTCGCTCTGCAAGAGGGGGGCGCGCCATTCCCGCCGCCATGCAGTGCTCGGGGGCGGGGGGGGTTCGCTTCCGACGGTCCCAGAGGCCCCCGAGACCGCGTCAAGACGGCTCAAATGGATCCAAAGACGACCCCACAACGGCCCAAGAGGGCGCCCTCCACTTCCTTCTCCTCTTCCTCCTCCTCCCTCATGCTCCTTCTTCTCTGCTTCTGCTCCTTCACCTCTCCCTCCTCCCTCATCCCTCCCTCCCTCATCCCTCCCTCCCTTCCCTCCTCCCCTCCTCCTGTCTCCCTCCTCGATCCTCCCTCCTCCCCCCTACCTCTTGCCTCCTCCTTCCTCCCTCCTCCCTCGTCCTCCTTCCTCCGTCCTCTTCCATCCTCCTCCCAAAAGCCAAAAACAGCCCCAGGACGGCCCCTTATGAGCTCCAAGATGTGGAGACGGAAGGCGCAGCATGTGATGGCCTACATCTTCCTCTTTATCATCTTCATCATAAGGGCGGCCGTCATCAACATCCCCACCACCATCACCATGGTCAACGTCATCATTCTCATCATCAGCAGCATCATCAATATCACCAGTATCATCATCATAATCATCATCAGCAGCAGCATCACCCTCACCATCGCCGTCCTCACCGACTGCATCATCCTTAGTACCCTGGGGATTCACATCATCAACATCATCGCCAGCTTCATCATTATTATCAGCATCATTGTGGGCACACCGTTATCATCATCACAACCACCATCACCATCACCAACATCACAATCCTGATCATCGTCGTCGCCATGACCATCTTCATGCTCTTCACCATGTCCATTACCATGGTAAACATGGTCCGAATCAACATCATCATCATCACCATCACCATCATCATTATCCGGAGAAACCGGATCGGCGGCACTGGCTGGAGGCAAGCACAATATACATCGATGACACCAACATCATACGTCAAGATGAGGTATCAAGAGCGCACACAAGCAACATACACCAGCGACGAACATGATGCGGAATGATGAGCATGCAGTACGTTATCTCTCACTCACACGTATTCAGGCCATGCATCCGCATGACAGATTGAGGACGCACACCACCACCACCACAATACATCACTAACATGCACCAGGTCACAACATCGATAACACACGCCATGTGGATCACTTATGGCACAAACCATACCACACTTCATGAGCAGGCATCACCATATAAGGCTATGGCATACACCAAAGCATACACCACAGCTAGACACCATTCGCATGAAACAAACAACGCAGGTCAAGAACACACTGCAATAACAGGCAGCAGTGCCATATACCAGTTGCATATGCCACTCATGCACTTCAGCAGCACATGTGACTGCACACCACTAACGCAGATCAAGGCTATGCATCACGCACCCACACTTAGAACATACAGCAGCAGCACATGCCAGTACGATCAGACGCTCGCATCAAATACATAGCTTTGAAAGGACATTCAGCGGAAACAAGGACCACATACACCAACAAAGTCTGAAGCAAAAACATGCGTAGTCCGTAGTCGGTGCAACCGGCATGCAGGTATGACGCAAAGAAGCTGCATTTTCGATTCCCAACTAACACATGTAACGGGCGCGCAAAAATACAACCCATGAGGCCAGATGCGTATGCAACAATCCAACACACCAAACTGAACACATACGCGAGCAACCATCCTTCAAAGCACGCGATGAAGGCACACGAGAAACACGTCGAACCCATTCACAACAACTCCAAGGTGGGGGTCGTCCGAAACAAGACGCGTGCGTTGGTCTGGTTTTGCTGGGGCATGCCTGCTGATGGCCCTGCAGCCCGGCAACAGCCCCGGGGGCGAAAAGCTGTTAAAACCTCTGCCTTGCTTTCCCCCGCCTCCCTCCCCAATCAACCGACGATGTGATCTTTCGATGCGCCGCCCAGAGGTCCCGACCTCTTCCCGGGGGGCAACTTTTCGTCCCGGATCGTTTTGTCATCGCGCCCGGGCCGAACACGGACCCAAGAGGCCGAAATCGAGGGACAGCGCAGGGTTAGAACAATATCTGGTCGTCGGGAATCTGGCTTCCCTTCCTACTTCTCGCCCTCCTACACCTCCATCTCTTTTCCTGGTAAGCACTTCCTCCCTGTCGCGCCCCCAGACGTGTCCGTAGGGCGCGCTGGTCGTTTCGGCTGATTTCCTCACCATGTGCGAAACTGAAACTTGATATTTGCAACAGTTCCTAGGATGGCATGGGGGGACGGCTTTCAGAAGCTGGCCCTCGCCCAAGCGCCGTGCACACTCGTCTGCAACGTCAGCAGCGGCTCCCGAGGACGGCCGGGCGACCCCTTTTCAAAAAACGAGAGCTCTCGCCGGAGTGCGGTTCACGTTCGCCCTCAGAGAGTGCACCAGGTCACAAAGATGAAGGGCGGCTCCCTCTCAGGAATGAGGCTTTCGCTTCACACTTCGCCACGCCCCCGTCCAGAACCTGGAGCATACGCGACCCCTGCACGGGTGGAGGGCGGCCCTCTGCCAGAACGGGGCTCTCTATATGGAGACCCTCTCGGAGCCCACGGCCAGGAAGCAGGAGCTTGTGCAACGGATGGCGCAGGTGAGGGCGCTCATTGCAGACACTGGGATCTCGCTGGGTACCGTGTCACGTCAGTCGTATGAGCGCACTTCTGTTTCGCAACGCCTGCGTAATCGCTGGAAGGATGCAAGGCAGACCCGTTTCAAAGGGGCTCGCGCCTGGATGTCAGGCCTATCGGGCGCGGGGCTTCCAAGGAGGCGCTTCGCGTAGATGAGCAAGGCTGTGGGGACGTGTGAGGAAGTGCCTCGGGGCGCGAGGGTGCACGCGTTGCGCCATCGAAGATGCATCCTGGCCTTTCCTCTGGCCCTCCTCCTCATCCATTCATCCACTGATGCATCGAGGTCGCGACGGCCGAAACTCCCGCTGGGAGCAGACCGGGGAGCGACGGAGAGAAGATCGTGGCGAGCACGCCGCACAGCAGCGACGGTGGGCAGACCCCAGGCCACTGCGGACGACCCGAGCCGACAGGCCTGCCCTGCCCGCCCAGCCGCGGCACGAAGGCCACGGGGGAGGGGAGGGCGGAGCCCATGGATCGCGGACAGGCGCAGTCTGTCACGTTACCGGCCGCAGCGGTGAGGGGACCCCCCGTCCCCGTCGTCTCTCGTTCCCGTCGGTGTCGTGTCGTTTCCTGACTCTTGCCACGGGGCTCCTCTTTCGCTCGTCAAAAGTGAGGGAGCCCGGAGGCACACCAAAGAACCTCGCTCTGCTTCGCCGCCGAGGCCACGGGGCGAGCCGAAGTGCGAGGCCGCGACGGCGTCTGACCACCGCGTGCAACACGACAATCAGGTAGGGCGCTTCTCCTCCTCCTCCTCCTCCTCCTCCTCCTCGTCCAACTCCTCCTCCTCCTCCTCCACCTCCTCCTCCTCCTCCTCCTCCTCCTCCTCCTCCCCCTCCCCCTCCTCGTCCTCCTCATGCCCCTCCTCCTCCTCCTCCTCCTCCTCCTCCTCCTCCTCCTCCCCCTCCTCCTCCCCGTCCTCCTCCTCCTCCTCCTCCTCCTCCTCCTCCTCCTCCTCCGTTCTCCCCATCCTCTCTTCAAGCTGCTGGCTCCCGACGGGGCAATTCCATACGCGGAAATGAACATGGCAAGATGGAGCTTGGAGGGAGGGTTCATTCCAGCATCGTTGATGAGTCTTGGGTTTGCACTGGTCCTCGTTCTCCTGGGCAAGACGTGGCGCGCCGAAGATCCTCCGACGAGCCACAGGCGAAAAGCCAAGCGAGTACTCAAGACCTCGGGATCACCTCAAGGACCCTGAGAACTCTGGAGCCTCCAGCTTGAATGTGCCTGTGCTCCACTCGGTGGAGCCGTTGCCAGAGCTTTGGAGCCCAGCCAGAGAGGTTGCTGATGGTCCTTCTCCTCCTCCTCCTCCTCCTCCTTTCCTCCTCCTCCTCGTCCAACTCCTCCTCCTGATCCTCCTTCACCTCCTCCTCCTCCTCCTCCTCCTCCTCCTCCTCCTCCTCCTCCTCCTTAACTCCTCCTTAACTCCTCAACTCCTCCTCCTCCTCCTCCTCCTCCTCCTCCTCCTCCTCCTCCTCCTCCTGCTCCTCATGCTCCTCCTCCGTCCTCGTCCTCCGCATGGAGAAAAAAGCACCGGCGGCGGCGCCGACCTGCGCTCCCCGACCACGGCCCTGTGGATGGCGCGGATCTGCGGCTCGAAGCCCATGTCCAGCAGGCGGTCCGCCTCGTCGAGGACCAGGCTGCGCAGTCCTCGACCCATCTAGCAGGGGATATGTCGACCCCTATCCTTAGGTCGGGCATGTCCGCCTACAGGTGGATTCGGCGCGAAAAGCTAAAAATAGTCAAAAACAATCAGGACATGAGCAACAAGTCGTCCCCAGACTATTTTTCTACTGTTTTTGAATATTCCTCCTGTAGAAGGACATGGCCGACTTAAGTCTAGCAAGGGATATGTCGCCCCTGTCCCGGGCTTCGTGGGGTTGTGCGAATGGGCCATGGACTTGGGGCCCAACCCTGGGACATACGAGGGTGGGGCGTCCATCCTCGATATGGGGTGCGTCCGAACAACTCCCTGGGGGTGCGTCCCCGAGTTCTCCTCCTTCCCTGGCCGGCTTCATCTTTCGAAGAAACATGAAGGGCTGGGGGAGAACATCGTCTACGACGATCGATCGAGGGCCGATCGACCATCGATCTGTCGACGCTTGTGGCTCTCAACTCTGCAGCCTCCTGAAGCTTCCACACGCTTCCAGAGGCGCGCAGGGACCTCCCGCGGGACAGCCCGCAGCACCCGAGAGACCTCGTGACGACGCCGGGGCGGGTCGTCGCATCGTCGGCGCCAGGGGCCCGATCGAGGCTTTCAGCATCTCCGGGGGCGCCCTCGTCGCTGCGGCTGGACACGCCTGTGTGCACCACGTATGTTGCTGCTGCTGCTGCAGCTGCATGCGCCGCAGCGCTCGTGCACATGACAGCGCCTGTGTGCACCAGCGCAGCCGAGTGCACCCCAACGCCTGTGTATACCATCTCCGTGTACACGACATTCCCTGCGTGTCGCACAGATGCAGATTCAGCACCGTACATCCGTGCACCACGGCGCGAATATGACCTAGTGCCTACATAAAGAACAAAGCCTGTGTACACTTCCAGGGTTCCGGCGGGGCGACCACCTGGAAAATCGCTGGGGGCCCGAACGCATCACATTCAACATGTGAGCTGTTGGTAACCGCTGGCTATTCTAGCTCAGGAGGTCCACAAGCCTCTGCTCATCATGTGCCACAAACCTGTCCACACCCGTTTGTGATGACTTCCCTCGTTCCTCTTGATTTCTCCTCCTGCTCTATATTTCAATCGGGCGTGTCCCCCTACACGGGGATTTTCGACGAAAAATAAAACATACCCCAAACATACGCCCAAATGGTATAAAAAGAAACAAAAAATAGTCCCCGGAGTATGTTTCACTATTTTTGAATATTCCTCCTGTAGAGGGACAGGCCCGACTTAACTCCATATGTCTTTCGTCAGCGAGCTGAGGGGCTGCGAGCACCGCGGCGCGCTCGTGACCACCATCAGTCAGTGTGCTTGCGACCACGAGACTGCGAGGGAAAGCTGGACCGGTCCAATACAGTCAGGCTTTATTGAAGGGGCCCTGGGACACACAAATAAATACACACAAATAACAGGATTCTCCATATTTTTCCAATATGTTCTAGGTTTTTGTCTTCCCCCCCACTTCCCATATTTCCCCATCTCTTCCTGGGAGTGGACGGTTAATTGTATCTGTGTTCTTTTTTCCCTCCTGATTTATTGGACAGGACACGCGAGAGGACACAAGACCCTTCCGAGGGCCACATTGCCACAGGAATGCAGGAGGCACGGGTCGCGAGACAGAGGACACAAGGGTACCCTTGATTTGGCAGGGTCGACCTACTAATCCGGGCCGACTGCACCACAACCGCATGCGAACGCCATAACAACCGTATGCCAGATCCCGCCAGCGCAACGCTAACTCTGCGACTCTGCGACAACCGCAGCATATTTTTACGAGAGCAGGCGTTGCGCCGGAGAGCACCGCAAAATGTCGGGGAACGCCGCGGTGTGCCTGCGAACGCTACGAGTTGCTGTTGAGCGCCGTGGTGGTGCGCGAGCACCGTGGCATGTAAGGTGCGCGCGGCCACCGCGACAGACCACGGTGGACGGTTTCTCCCAGGGGGTTCGGCGACCCAGGGAGGGGAGGGCGAGGGGGGGAAGGAGGAGGAGGAGGAGGAGGAGGAGGAAGAAGAGGACGGGGAGGAGGAGGAGGAGGAGGAGGAGGATGAGGAGGAGAGGGGAGGAGGACGGGTCGCCTAATAAGCCCCTCGGAGAAACCCTCCAGCCTACGGACGTCACCACATGCATGTGAGCGTGGAGGGGGGGCGGACCCATCCTCCGTGGAAGGGGAACGTTCGGGGGGTAGGGGGAGGTAAAACAAGATCGACCAGCCCTGACATCAGCAGGTCTGATTTTTCGATCCGCGGCCGCAGATGTCCCGACCCACTCCTCGACAATAGTTTTGCGTCCCAGATCCGTTTTTGATGGCCCCCGGGGACCAACAACGGACACCCGAGGCCGAAGTCGATAAAAAACAGCCGGATATCATACAAATCAGACCGTCTGAGGTTTGGTTCCCTCATCGCGCCAATGGTAAGGCGTCTTCTCCGCGCCCCTGCAGCGGCCCTACAACGTCGGATTGTCTACAAAGGGCGCTTTTGCCTCGTTCGGGCCCCAAGACCATCAGGTATCGCTCCGGCGCAACAAAAATGCAGCAGAATGTGGGATCCAGCGCTCCAGTCGCGATGTTTCGCATAATGTCTTTCTGGCAACGTCCGATCCAGGGCTGCACACTGGAGATGCTTGTCGAATCTGGGCGCTGGGGGGGGGGAAGCCGCTGCTGCTGACGCCGACCCGCGCCCCCAGCCCCACCTCCTTGAGGCAAAGCCGCGACCGGGACAACAAACATTGGGCCGGGACGCATCACCGGGGCGATAAATAAGGGGGGGGATAAGGGGGGGGAGGAAAGTGCACTTCTCGGGCCCTAATAAAGACCCACTCTTGGGCCCTACAGGGCCCGTCCCTAAAAAGCTCCCTTTTCTGTAGCCCTCGCTGCCCCTTCATTTATCGCCCCCCCAGTACGCGACGCCCAACGATCTGGCGTCGCGGCCGTTGCGGAACGCGGCGGAGCGCTGTCTTTCGAATCGCTCTGCAACGACTGCTCCCGGTCTTGCAGAGCCCGCCAGGACTCCTCCTTCCAACATGGGATATGTCGACCCATACCCCCGACTTCGTAGGGTCTTTTTAAGAGACCAAACATGTTGGGCCCAACCCAGGGACAGACAATAGGTGGGGCGTCCATCCTCGGTAGGGGTGCGCCCGAGACCCACCAGCCCTTTCGGGCGCGAGTTGTTTAGAAGGTTCCCTCTTCCATCTTCCCTCTTCTCCTTCGGGTTTACCCTTCCCCATCCCCCATCCCCCTGCGTATGGAGGGGGGGGGGGGGGCGCGAGGTGTCAGAGGGTCTTTTTGTTGGACTCGCCGAGGAAGATATTTCGGCCTCCTGGGAAGGGGGCCCTGATTAAGGAACCCTCCTCCTTTGATCGATTTCCTCCAAGATGGCCCCAAGATGGCCCCCGAGGCTTCCAAGGGTGCCCCAAGACGGCCCCAAGAGGCCCCCAATATGCTCCCAAGAGGCTCCTAACATGCCCCCGAGAGGCTCCCAAGATACTCCCGACACGTCCCAAGAGGCCTCACAAGGGCACCCAAAAAGCCCCAAGAAGCCCCCGGGACCGCCAAGAGCCCCCAAGGCGCCCCAAGAGGACTCCAAGAAACTCTCGAAAGACATCCAACCAGACTCCGAGAGGCATCCGAGAGGCGTTTTGGCCTCTCTTCTCACCCTCCTCCTCCTCCTCCTCCTCTTCCACCTTTTCCTCATCCGCCTGTTCCTCCCCTCCTCCTCCTGCTCCTCCTCCTCCTGCTCCTCCTCCTTCTGCTCCTCCTCCATCCGCCCCCTCTTGGGGTATGACGTCGTACACAGCCCTTTGTTCCACTGCATGCTCCTCCACATCCCTGCTCAGAGCAACTCGGCTGGGCATCGCTTCCGGATGGGCTGATTGGGGTTGCGCCGAGCTTCCAGAACAGCTCCCTGGGGGTCTACTCCCGAGTTCCCTTCGTTTTCTGAGCGGCTTGTCGGGGGTGGGGGGCGAGACATCGCCTGCGGCCCCTCGGAGGCACCTCCCCGCGGTGCACGGTTTCCCCTTGGGCCGTAGGCGACCCGAGGAGGAGGAGGAGGAGGAGGAGGAGGAGGAGGAGAAGGAGGAGGAGGAGGAGGAGGAGGAGTTGGAGGAGGAGGAGGAGGAGGAGGAGGACGAGGAGGAGCAGGAGGGGGAGGGGGAGGGGGAGATGGAGGAGGAGGAGGAGGAGGAGGAGGTGGAGGAGGACGGGTCGCCTCGGTCCCCCGCGGCTCCGTCGGTGCCGAGCGCGCTCGTGTGCTCGAGGTGGTACGCCAGGCGGCCGGGCGTGGCGCACAGGACGGCCACCCCCTTGCGGAGGCGCGCCTGGCGCGAGGAGCAGCGGCGTGGCGCACAGGTCGGAACAGTGACCAGCGAACAAGCCGACCAGGACGACACGCACCGGGGCATAGTAGTACTGTATGACGCCAGAGAAAAAACCAAATCAGTGGATGGTTTGGTGAGATCGATGGTGAGATCGATTGATTGAGATGATTAAGGAGACCGATCATGAGATCGATAATGCATCGTAGGATCGATAAAGAGGTCGACCGGGACCCTGGGAACCCGGGAACCTGGAATCCACCGAAATTGGCCCGGAACCATGAACCGGGAACACGGGAACCCGGAACCGGGAACCCGGGAACCCGGAACCGAGAACCCGGGAACCCAACTGGCTACCAAAATCGGCGGGAAACCTTCGCCACATTTTTCAATTTCCGTTAGGAACCCTTCAGGGCAAGCACTGATTGGGGAACAAGCGGACCAGGACAACACGCACAAGGGCACAACAGTACTGTGTGTCCTCCTCGGAGGCGTGCGTCCGACCCGAACATATGCATGGTGCAAACGCCTCATCGTGTGCAATCTCCCGATGGGTACGGCCAGACAGCGCCCGCAACCGGGCACATACTATAAGATTTCTCGGTGCGCGCGTCTCCCCATTTAGGGGGCGACGCACACATAGTATTAGTATGTTGGGGTGACGCCGATAGAACCCAACCTCCAACCTCAGCAGCAAACGTGGCGTATAGTCGGATCTCAAACAAGTTTTGCCCTGTCAGGCTAGTATATACAGCTATCACTGTAGGAGATGTGCAGGCGCACAAACGCACAGTCCAGCGCAAGTCGGAGGTGGAGGAGGAGGAGGAGGAGGAGGAGACACTTGGATGCGTTTCAGGTTTGCTCACGGCGATCGTGGCTGTCACAGCATGCTAGCCTGTTGGCAACCACTGCCATCACGGCAAGAGCCCTTCCTGCTCACCGCCTCGCAACCTCCGCTGTGTACTCCCGGCAGCTGTGACGCGCAAGAGGCTCAGTAGAATGAGTTGCGCAAGCGAGACAGAGGCGCGCACACGTTCAAGGGCCATGAGCACATAGCAGACATTACCATGGTTTGTAGCCGATGCTACTTCGGGGCTTGCAAAGGTTGCCAAGAGGGTACCAAGCTGTCGTAACTGTGGTAGTCATACGCCACAGAGATCACCCAAGCAGAGCCCCTCGTGTCGGGAAGCAAGACTACGGCGGGAAGTTGTTGGTCGTCTTCTGCCTCTGGGGCCCTTGCCGAGCCCTGGGGCGATCACAAACGGCTCGGGCTGAACAGCTGGTCCCCGTGAAGGGGGCGAGACCTCTGGGGCCCCACGCTGTGACAATATGCGACGTCTTGGATTGCTTAAAGAGGAGGAGGAGGAGGAGGAGGAGGAGGAGGAGGAGGAGGAGGAGGAGGAGGAGGAGAGGAGGGAGGAGGAGGAGGAGGGAGGAGGAGAGGAGGGGGAGAGGGAGGTTGAGGAGGTTAGGAGGAGGAGGAGGAGGGAGGAAGAGGAGGAGGAGGAGGGAGGAGGAGGAGGAGTGGGAGGACTGGGAGGGGAGAAGGAGGAGGAGGAGGAGGAGGAGGAGGGAGGAGGAGGAGGAGAGGGAGGGAGGAGAGGAGGAGGAGGGAGGAGGAGAGCAGGGGAGGAGGAGGAGGAGGAGGACGAGGAAGAGGAGGAGGATGAGGATGAGGAGGAGGAGGAGGATATGGCTTTGATTCGAGCAAGGCGTTGCATGAGGTGCGGGGTCGCGCGAGAACAAAAAGGGCTCGAATGCGAGCCTCACCGCCGGCCTGCTGACAGAGAAACGTGCAGGAACTCACACCTATGTAGAAAAAACGCGGGAACTCACAGATGCTTCGCATGCCATGGAATGAGCTTGGCGGCGCGCACACGGGGTGGAGGGAGGGGAAGGGTTCTTAGAGAAGGAGCCTGCTTCTTAGAAGGTGCCCGCCTTACGCACCTATCGATCAGGCCCGCGCCTTCTAAGAAGCAGGGGTGCTTCTAAGAAGCCCTCCCCCCTCCCCCCACCCCCCTCTGCGCGTGGCTGAGAAGCGAGGAGGAGGGGAGGGGCTGCCAACCCTGCAGAGGGAAGAGGGAGGACGGAGGCGGGAAGAAGGAGGACCCACCCCCCCCACCTTCGCAGATGGTCCTGCGATGGTCCAACCGAGGCAACGCGCCAAAATGCGGTGCAGAAGCCTGCTGGGGGGGGGGGCGTGTGGGATCGATTACACAAAATGTGGCTCTGTCTGGTAGTGTTCTAGCAAACCATCCCGCATGGATTCAGGTGCTGCGCTGGCACAATGGCAGGGTTCGCCGCACGCAGCGAGATAATGCGCCCGTGCGGAGGAGGACGAGGAAGAGGAAGAGGAACAGGAGGAAGAGGAGGAAACACTGTAAGAGGACTATAAGGGGCGATCTGAGGATGGGCGTGAGGATGAGGTCGCACCTCGGCAAGACAGCACTAACAAGACTATGAAGGCACGCAGTGACCATGCAATGCTGTGGGGCTGACCATGCGCAGGCGCAATGGCATCCCCACATTTAGACGCAAATGTGTTGAAAAGGGCGTGCAAGAAGCCGCGGTCCGGGAAAATTCGTCTCCCCTTCGACGGGAGAGTCGGTGCGGCTTCAGGCAAAAAGCGCACATACCAGTCACCCATTCTGAAGTAAATTATACAGACCCCAATTACAAGTAGTCCTCCAAATAAGGCTGTTCAACCACCCCCAAAACAAATATTGCACGTCGTGGCTTGATTTCCTCATCTTACCGCGATTGCCTCCAAACTCTGCGAGGTCCCGATGCGGATTATGCTGGAAAGTCGTACCCGCAAAACAAAGCGGGTGCAAAAGACCGCCTGTCAGGCCGTACCTAGTGATCATCGAAAGCGTACGGTGATCAGTTGAGGCAAACACCGCACAATGCATGTTTGGATCGCAAACACATCGTCTTGAACAGAAGGCTATGATAGCAATTGAAATGCGACTTTGCCTGTATGTGTTAGCTCGCCAATCTCTATACAGGTATGGCTACATGTGCGAAGAGACTAAGAGTGAGGTCTTCCCGGCGAAGAGGAATCATTACACTTTCTCTCCGACAGGGTACCGACGGGACCACAAGTATGCTTAGTTTCGCGCTCTGCCTTATAATCGTGGTCTTTCCATTGGTTCTCTATTCCCCCCCTCGTCTCATGGGTCCTCATGGTCAAGTAATGTATCCTCTCTCCCCCTCTCTCTCTCCCAATGCCTTTCTCCGCCTTCGCTGCCTCTCTTGTTCTCCTCCTCCTCACCGTCCTCCCCTCTCAAGGTTTCAGCAATTTCTTCCAGCCCTCATTCTCTTCCTCTGGGTCCTTTTCTAGGTCATGCATTATCTCTCCCCCTGTCATCGGGTTGGCCCTCAATCTACCAATGCATTCTCACTGTTCCCACTTCACTATACGCCTCCTCCTCCCCCTCTTATTGCTCATCCTCCTCGTTCTCCTCGCCCTCCCTCCTCCCTCAAAGCTTCCACACTTGCCTTCCCTCCGCCCGTTTGTCCCTCTTCTGACCTTCCCTCCCTTTTCAGATTCCTCCCGCTTCTCATCTCTTCTTGGTCCGTGTTTTGATCCTCAATTCTCCTCCCCCCACCTGGCGGGTCTTCAACATCCGGGTTCCCCTTTGCTCTGTACATATGTCCATTTCCTCCTCCTCCTCCTCCTCCCCCTCAAACAATCGAGTCCTCCTCATCCTCCTCGTCCTCATCCATCAGAGCTTCAGCACTGGCCTCCCCACTCCTCCCCTCCGTCCTCCTCCTCCCACCTCCTCCCTTTCCTCCCCGTCCTCCTCCCCATCCTCTTCTTTCTCATGGCCTTTCTCTCGGTCCTCATCGCTCCTCCCCGCATCGGGTGGGTCTTCATAGTCCTATCCGTCATTCCCCAACGGGCGAAAACTGCCCAGGCGCAGGAGCTCCAGTGCCCAGGCGCAAGCAGCGGCGGTGAAACTCTCCGAACATTTCTCAACTCGCTCCCTACTCGTCCCTTCCAATCCTACCTCCCCCCCCTCCTCGGTGCCTGGGGAAGGTGGGGGGGGGGAGGAGCTGGGATGGAGGGATCGGCGAGGGGGGTGGAAGTAGCGAGAGAAGGAGTGGGTGACTCGGATCAGGACGAGGAGGAGGCGAGGCGAGTGGATGGGTAGGGGGGCAGGGGGATGGCAGGATTAGGCGGTGAGAGCGAAAGATGTAGGGGTGGAGGAGAGGAGAAGCATGAGGAAGAGAAGGAGGAGGACGGGGAGGAGGAGGGAGGAATTGAACGGGCGGCAGGGAGGAGGGGGGACAGACAAGGATGAGGCAGAGAAGGAAGTTGAAGCGAAGGAGGTCGAGGACTAGTACTGGGTGGCAGGGAGGCGAGGGGACCCGAGGAGGAGGAGAGGGAGGAGAGGTGAGGACAGGGATGAGGAGCGGGGGGCGAGGGGAGGCGATCGAACAGAAACAGGCGGGTCGGAGCGTTCCTTCCCCCCCGCGGCGGGCCCTCTGGCGCGCGCGTCGCGGGTGGCCAGCGCGGGGGAGGGGGCCCGGGGGCCGCCGTGGCTGCGCCATGGGCCCCCCTCTTTGCACAGTTTCCAGCCGGCGCCGGCGTCTCCGCGCGAGCATATAGGCCCGGACCGCTGGAGTCTATCCGAATCGGCACCCCGCCCGTCCGCCTCACCTTGCCCCGCCATCCCATCCCCTCCCCCTCCTCCTCCTGCAACCCCCCCGCTCCCCCTCCCCACCTCCGGTCCCGCCCCTTTCGGCTAGTCAGCCCTCCGCTTCATTCTCCAAGTCCATCTCTCTCCATCCCTCTGCTTACAGCGAACTCCCCCCCTATCATGCCACCGGACGTGTTTGCAGGCCAGGACGGGCGTTACGGATAAAAGCTGGCTCTACAATGAAACCCCGTGCTCAGAAAGCAGCAAAGGGCTACAAGGATGGAGAGTTGGTGGTATCCAACATGCGGCTCTTGGCATAACGCCGCGTACACCCCTCCTGAACACTTCCAACAATTACAAGGACTGCATGCCCGCATTTTCCGAAATATGGCTCTCGAAAGAGCGCCGCGCACATTCGTCTTATGAACTTCCAGCAACTACCGGGATGGAGGCTGGTACGTGTTCGGAGTACGGCGCTGGCCTCGGCGCCACGCGCATTCGCTTGAGAAAGCGCCCAGCAAGCACAAGAATGGAGAACATATCGCGTTCTACATGCAACCCTTGCATGAGAATTCCTCGAACCCGATGACCAGAAATTCCGATTTGTGCAACAGCTACACGGATGAGAAACGTCTGCTTTTCACCATGAGGGAGGCTCTCCCCTGGGCACCTGCGAACCCTGAGGCCCGAACGTCGACGCGGAAGATCACGTACGCGGATGGAGGGCAGATCCCAGCAGACAGTTGGCTAAGTTCTGGAGACCGCCGTGGGAACTTGAGCATGCTGCCTCTCTGCGCTCGTCTGGCCAGCATCGGGGGCGCGCAAAGCATGGATTGGCGATCCATGGATCTGGCGCGCGGTCGCCAAATCCCATGGACCGGGGGAGGTGCCCTCCCCAAAATGCGGCAGGTGCCGCCCCGC